AACCACAATTTTTATTATGATGAAAATTCACACCTCATCATTACACTTCCAAGTAATATTTATTCAATATTATGATATATTGGTAATAATATCACTGTCGCCATACAATGATATTATCATCATTATCAGAACAACGGGTGGGATAAAGTATTAATTCAAAAATTGGCGGGTAAAATGGAAGATTCGGTTGGTATCGGTGGGTCTCGGGTGTTTCCGCGAGTGATCGGTGGCGCGCGCGAGTCACTCGGGGCGTCCGGGGGCCGCCATTTTCCTCCAGTGAGGTAGTGAGCATCGTGAAGCATCAGTTAATACAACAATAATCAACCATTAAAAAATCAAAACATCGTTAAAACAAAACCCAACAAATCCCTCCCCCCCTCGCCCCGTTAAATTAATTAACCTCCAAGTTCCGTAATTAGAGGTGCGTCGGGGGCGACAGGGCGACAATTTTTGCGAACACCCCAGGGGCCCAGTTTGATTGTTTCCACCAAACACAAGAGATCCAACAATAAAAATCTTCATTGTTGATAATAATAAATCAACAATTCGTACAAATCGTTGGTACGAGGAAATACATCGACTTTTGGTAACGACGTGTGTTGATTAATTTTTGCAGAGACGTCGAGAGGTGCCCGGATTAACTCCAGTGACAAGAAAAATCCACCGGTGGGGGGTAATCAACACATTTAAACCGCATTGAATCGTAATAAGTGATAAATTATTTGTGAATTTAAAAGGGAAAGTGGGGGCTGGAGTTGTGAGAGATTCGAGGGAAAGGCTTTTACTCTCCACGAAAATAAACCGATAATTGATAAGACGTCAACGGTGGATTAGCCGAGGATTTACTGTAGTCTCCGACAGGTTAGTTGCCATTAATATTGCCTGGTGGTCATTCCCGGCCGGTGAGGCAAGTCCTCGGAAAATAAATACGTTTTCTACAAGAGTACAACCCGCCAAACTCTAGTATTAAAAAATTTTCAATTTCATTTCCCAGTTTTTCACACGTATCTGCCAAACTAACGGAGACACTGAATCTTCGTAACCATCTTTTTTGTAGCTCCAAGCAAGAGCTACAAAAAAGGTAGTTACAAAAAGTTTGATATCAGTCGTGAATTCCAACATATTCACTGAAAACTGATCAACAATCAGAATTGGATTGAAGTGTTTTACCACTTCGTTGCTGAAACATTCTGGGAAATATCTCCGAAACCGAGGGAGATAGCAGAATTTTTGTAATATCCTTTTTCGTAGCTCTTGCCGAGCTCCGCAAAAGTGCTTCAGGCAAATATTTCATTATCTCCCTTAGTTTTGGAGATATCTCTGAAAAACTCACCGGAGTCGATGCACCTCGATTAACTACTTCACTCTGTTTTGTTAATAAATTTTATTGGGTGATTCTTTTTCAGCGTTCGTATCGTTCACCCGTTTAATCCGTTATTGTCCGGGAATTCCACGCGGCTTCTCAACGCCACGATGCAGAATAATATGGATGCATGTGCACACGCGTGCTACAACGCGCGCGCTCGTTAATTAAATGAAATTAACTGATGATTTTTACAGATTTTAAAATTCCTCTGGGGGCTGTTTAAGGGTTGAAGGTGGGGCTGTAGATGTGGATGACAGGTGTTCTCATGGCTTTTCACATCTTGTTTTTTTTTCGTCGCAAAAAATCGAGGGGAGACGGCATGAGTCACTCGTGGTCTAGTAATTCATCTCGTTGAGATCATTCAGGAAAGTGGAATCTTCTAGAATCACCGGGTTTCCCATTTCAATGTGCAAAACAAAACTAAACCGCGATTGAATGCTAATTGAAGTGGCGTGAATAATTAATTAACAATGCAGCTGTCAAGTGGTGAATTATTCCCATTCATGTTTGAAAAACGCGTGAGATTATGGTTTACGGTGGAAACGACAGAAGACTTTTTTATAGTTCATTCGATTTCCCAGAAAAAAGGTCTTTTGACATTTTCTTCTAAATCTAATATTTTTCGGGATAAATCACAAAAATCAGTGAGATTTTTCAATTTTTATACTAAAATTTGAAAAATTCCTGACATCAAAGTTATTTATCTTGAAAACTGTCAGTTTTTGCACAAAAATTTCAAAGACCTTTTTTACATCCAATGAAATTTCCAACAAAAAAGGGCCGATGACATTTCCTCCTAGAATCAATAATTCCCGAGATTACTGGTCATTAAGAAATTTTCCCTCCAAAAACTCCACAGAATATTACAATCTTCTCCAAACATTTTCCCCAGGAATGAGCAATTGAAAATAATGGGAAAGCGCCTCGAATCGGCAAGTCAGGGATAACGGTTTCGCGAGGATGAAAAGGTCAGGGGTCATTCCACCGAATGGCCCTTCACAATTCATCAAATATAAATAAAATAAAAACAGTTTGAAAATTGAAATGACTCGCTGACCCGATTCCATGCAAAACGAAAACGACATTTACGCAACTTTCGCCCAAATCCCCTCATCCCCCCTCCCCTCTCTACCCCCACCAATTGCTCTGATATTGGCATTATTATCCTCTCCCCCGGCCTCAATGTCGCGCTCTTCATTGAATCTTTCCCCCACCTCGTGGCATTTTTTTTTTAATAATTCCACAGCTCGCGTGTGTCGTTCCGCACCTATCAACCCATTACGCATGAAACAAAAAAAAAAGAGAGGTAAAAAAACAGCCACATTGTGTCGTATCAGCTGAAATCGCCTTTAGCATGAAAAACGAGTGCTCGTTCCTCACAACTTACGTAATTTGCTGAAAGGCACGAGCGACTGGAGATGCGCTTATTCAGCTTTGACCCGTATTACCCCTTCCTTTGGGGTTTCAGACAATTCTTATTGAATTTCTACTGGTGAGAATTAACAAACGCCAGAGAAATTCACCCGCAACTATAAAAAAACGGAATTCAACCGCAATTGCGAAATTTACCGATTTATATCGAGAATTTTTTGTTTTAGGGGAAAATGTCAGGGGACTTTTTTGTTGTTTATTGAATTTCCGAGGAAAAAGGACTTGTGACATTTTTTTATAAAATCAATAGTTTTCGAGATAAACGGGAAGAGCTGGTGGCACTGCAAATAGAAAATGTTTATAATTAATTGAAAAAAAATTATGAATTTATTTATGTTCGAAAATATCGATTTCAATATATTTTGATTGATCTTTAAGTCAGATGACTCAATTTCAAAGAAACACATCTCTTTACGTTTCCTTTTAAAATCAATAGTATCTGAGATCAATCGATATTTATCAATCTATTTACCTCCACTAAAATCCGACTTATCTCCCTCTGAAATCTCGATTAATCACCGATTTATCTCGATCAAAACAACCTTTTTGCAGCCGATTAAATTGTCTAAAAAAAGGTGCTTCGGTATTTAATTGTAGAGCCAATAATTATCCTGAGAAAAAAATATTGTAAAATTATACTCTTGATTGATTCATCCTAATTTAATCTTTCTCAACGAATATGCAGGGAAAATAAATGAATATATAAAATCAAAACAGAAAAATAAATTATTCAATTTCATTACATTAATTTTTTGTGATTATTAAGAAATTAAAAACTATTTCTTTAATCTTAATATATGAAGACAAATAATTAGTCGAGGCTACTAAATATGTTTGTAAATTGACTGCATCCTCAGGCATATTTCAACGAATACTAATTTCAAATTTGAATTTTTGCAAACAAGTAAAGTTTCAATTGACCTTGAAAATTTAAATTATTCCTTTTAAAAAAATTCATTTAATTCTACATCTAGCACTTGCAACCACATATCTGTTGCGACTATTTATTAATTTAATTTGTTACTTTGAAAACAATTTTTATTTCAATTCACCAATTATTTTTCTGAGTGCATTGAATTAATTGATGTTCAGTGGAGTGAATGGTGATGATGAAAGTCGTATTATTCCCTCGTAAATAAAAATAATGAGGAAAACGACGGTGGATTGGGGATTGTGACTGCTCGGTACAAGTCGTTTGGACTTGAAAGTTGTAACAGGTGCCCTCCACCTCCTCCTGAGGTACGAAACAGTTCCTTTCTACCAACACTATCACAAAACACTCGTGACTGCTCTTCGATTCTACCTCTTTCCTCCTCGACTCGTTTCCCTCATCCCCTCTCTTTACCCCTCCTCATTATCCCCTCAACAATTTACCTTTGTGCCCCCCCCCCTCCTCCTCCCCCTGCCTTCCCCCCCACCCTCTGCGTAATTCAGCGCAAGTGCGTGCGTCTTTCATACGGTATTTGTCTCCTCAGGGTCTGTCTATTCTCAATTTATGCTGAGGATAACTGACCTGTCGTAATCCGGCTGAAATTATTTCCCAGGAAATAAAAACTTTGTTTATTAGCAAATTGTTCAACTATTGTTTCAAATTTTTATTATATTTTTTTTACTGCTGTAAGTAGAGCCGTTGCATTAATGAATTTCATGTATTCAAGAATGCAAAATAAATTACTGGTACTATTATTTGCAAATTTTCGGTTATCACTGGTGAATTTTTATTTTATCGAATTGCATTCTTCGGTTGATGTTTTTGTTAGGGAGTATTTTATTAGTTGAATTGTTTTGGGGAGAACAATTTAATTTAATTTAATAGGCCATCCGTATTTATTTCTGGATATTTTTTGAAGAATGTTATGTTTTTGAGCACGAGATGTTTCTTAACAATAAATTGATATTTCAATCCTTTTTCTGCGTTGAAGAGAAATGATTATCGACTTGACCTTCAATATTAACCCTTCGGAATATTTTCTTGAAGACGTAACATTAATCAGAAAAGATATCGCCAATAGATGCCTGAAAAATAGTCAACTAACTATTGAACGATAACAACGAAACAATTACATCGAAGAGTCGAAATTGAAGGTCAAATATCGGTATTTGACCTTGAAATTTAACCTTTTGTTATATTTTTTGGATTATCGATTAAATATCGATTTGACCTTTAATATTAACCCCTCGGAATGTTTTCTTGAAGACGTAACATTTTTCACAAAATATCTCACCAATAATTGCCCGAAGAATATCAAACTAAGTGTTGAAGGGTCAAAATTGAAGGTCAAATCCTTATTTGACCTTCAACTTTGATCCTCTCAATATTTTCTGAAAAATGTAACCTTATTAAGAAAACTCAGTTATAAAGATTCAGACAGAACATTCTAATAATTACTGAACATCAACCTCAAAATAAAAATTGGTCTATCATAAATAATAAAAGGAATGCTTCAATTAAGTCTGTAAATAATAAATTAACAACTATATATAGCATAGTTACATAATTTTCAAAATCCTGGATTTTACAACCAAACAAAATTCCAAGGGGTCAAAATTGAAGGTCAAATATCAATATTTGACCTTCAAATTTAACCCTCGAAATATTTTTTTAAAGATGTAATATGTGTGACAAGACATCTCACCAATACAAGCGCGAAGACCGGATATTCTATTAACTACTGAACAATAACATGCAAAAAGATATTCCAAGGGGTCAAAAATGGTGGTCAAATCAATATTTAACCTTCAATTTTAACCCCTCAAAATATTTTCTTAAAAATGTGAGATTTCCCCGAAAATATCCCACCAATAAATACACGAATACAGAATATTCTACAAACTATTGATCAATAACAATAAAAAAATATTCCAAGGGGTCAAAATTGAAGGTCAAATATCGTTTCGACCTTCAACTTTGACCCCTCGGAATATTTTCTTAAAAATGTAAGATTAAAAGAAATTTGAATACATATTCAACCAGAATCCTCTAATAACTCCTAAACCATAACAAAAAAATGAAGATTGCTCCGTAATAAGTAATAAAAATGAGGTTTAGACTAAGGCTATAAAC